TCCAATAAAATCAAAGGTGAAGGCCACTTAAGTATTTTGCAGGTTTCATTCTGATCGGCCCCTGCAGCAGAGCAAGAGCAAATACCCATGCACTTGTCTGACTGCAGCTTCAGGCTAATGCCCACTGTTCTTGGCAGACCAAACCCCACAGTGTGGTTCTCATGTATGGGCAGCTGGTATCTTACCGTCATTGATGGTATGAGAAAATCCATTATAATCCCCATGTGGGAATCAGTAACCCAAGAGCCCCTGTTAATGCTCGCAAAGGTATTCCACTCCAGCAAGCAGGGAGTCTCCCTGCAGCTAGCTGCCAGGTTAGGTTGCCTATTACAAAAGACGCCGCCTCCTTCAGCAGCCTCTCCGCTTGGTCCAAGAGGAGATGGGTCAAAAGCGCCCTGCACAAAGCAGCGCGGGGAAGACTCAAGAGTAAAATCACCTTCATGCGATTTCTAACTACAGATCTCAGGTGAACTGGATCGAAGTGATCAGCTTTGGGGGGGCCTGGACACAGAGGGCAAGGAGTAGAGGTTGGGAAGCCTCCTCCTCTGTTGTTAGCATCAGCAAACACAGACTTTAATTGGAAAAGGACATTGTTATGTAAATGCCCCAGGGCGGGGGGGTGGGGGGGAATGCCTTACATGCTTGCCTGGGGCTGGGCAATGTTCTGTTCAAAGAAGCAGCACACCTGGGGGCTAGGGGAGGGGTCCCTCAGACATTCTCTGAGAGGAGTTTCCAGAGGCAAGCTTCAGCCAGGATCTAGCTGGCGGGTCCAGCAGTGTCAGGCATTGGTCACACCATGGAATAGTCTCTCCCCACAGATATAAGGCATGGGCCCTGCCTTCCAGAGGCATCTAGATGGGGGTCTTGAAGAACATTAAAGAAAGCCTCTAAGTGGTTCATCGATCCCTTGTCTTATGTGACACGCTGCAAAAGGACTGCATTCAGCCATGCTGACGGACAAGCCCAGGCCATCCTGGTTTCTCCAAGTTAAAGCTGATCAGAGTGAGTTTAAGGCGCCCTCTTGGCCTCTGGGACAATGGGGTCATGCCTGCCAGCGGCCATAATGTGGTACAAATTCCTTCCTCCTGGCACCTGGTCCCATTCCAACTCCTTTGTTCTCTGTGAGACACAGGCCTGGGGCTCATTCCTGATCTACTTGGATGGAATCCTAGTTCTATCCTTGTTCTACCACATTTAAAATCTGTCTGAGACCCACCACCCAATCTCTCTGATACCTTAAAATGGTGACTATTGCTGTGTAAATTATACCTCAATACAACTAACTAACAATGTATATAGTAACCCCCAAAAAGTATTCACACTTTAATAGCTGGTAGCTCAATTTTGAAAGTAAAATGTATTTTAATAAACGCTGCCTTTATAATTATTAAAAGTGAGTGTATACATTTTTGGGGAATATATGTCCTTGAAGCTTCAGTTCTTCTCAGTAACCCTCCCTCAAGGCTTCTACTCTATAGGCCATAAACCACACAGATATTGGGCAGTAGATTCTAAAAGAAGGCAAGTCTGCATTTTCCCTTCTTTCCATTGATGGAGATTTGAAGGCCTTTAGAAGAAAAGAGAAACCTTGTAGTTAGTGTCTCAGGATGCAGCTCTCCATTCCTGTCTTTTCAGTCGGGTTATAATGGGGGAGTCCAGGGAGGCCTGGATGGCCTTTCTGGGTGGGACGAGGCCAGAATCACAGAACAGCAACAGAAGTGAAGGGTTTAACGTGTTAGCTGAGAGTAGGCTCTGAATACATGTTAATTATTATCACTATTGGTAGTAACATCCTTACTGTGTTTAGACTCTACTCATCTTACTGGGCAGAATGTGCTTCAGTAATCATGTGACATGATGGGGAGTCTCCGAGGGGTGGGCTGGGCTTACTGTCTTGTTTCCAACAAATAGAATATGGCAGAAGTGATGAGATGTCATTTCTAAGATTAAGTATTAAAAAGATTGTGCCTTCTGTCTTGAACTCTACCCCCTCCCCTGAGCATTTGCTCTGGGGATAACCAGTGACAATGTTATAGTAAGGCAACCCTATGGAGAGGCTCACATGATGATGGATGGCGGCTTCCCAGTATTATATGAGTGAGTTTAGAAAGAGATCTTCCCCCAACTCCAGGTGAATCTTCAGATGAGACCACAGCCCTGACCAACAGCTTTACTGCAACCTCCCAAGAGACCTCGAGGCAGGGGCACCCAGTTGACCATGTCTACATTCTTGACCCACCGAAACTGTGAGATAATTAATGTTTATTGTTGTAAGCCCCTGAATTGTTGGGGCAATTTGTTACACAGCAACAGGTAAATAATAGAAGAGGGTACACATTTGGGAACATACATTTTCCCCCTTATTCTGAGGCAAATACTGGAATAATTTCTAGCATAAGGAAGGAAGATTTGATAGCAAATAAACATAGTCTTGAGCACCAACCATATGCTCATTCATGCTACTGACAATTATGAATGGATTTTGTTTTAAGTTTTTTAAAGATTATGCCAGCTGGGGTTTGGGGAAGGGGCGGGGATTAGGTGGGCTCCTAGAAATCGTGTTCTGTGATGAGTGAGATGTGAGTGTGCTCTTTCAAAATGTGAGTGGTTGTAATGTGGAAAGAGACATTAATTTGTTCCTGTGACTCTGAAGGGCAGAGCAAGAGGTGAAGACTGGAAGTTGCAGGCAAACAGGCTTTGGCCCCACTGATGTTCGCTGGTGTTTCATGGAAACACCAAGAATGAAAATCGTGTCAACTGCTAGATTCTTGGCAAATCACATCTATGTGTGAAGGCTGTCTGCAAACAATAAAACGCTACAGTCTGCATAGGGCAGAGTTGCGGGTGATGTTTAAAGTTATCATTTTTGTAAATGACTCTTTGCATCATTATACTGTCTTGGCAATTGACCTATGTTACAGGAAAAGAACGCAGCACGCTTTGTATTGCTGGGACGGTTCCCGTTGGGTCTGTTACTGTGTTGGGCTGAGCATCCCCTTTCTTCACAGAGAAAAGTCAGATGATCCCAGGAAACACCCTTTCTTCAAAACCATCAACTTTCCTCGCCTGGAAGCAGGCCTCGTGGAACCCCCATATGTGCCAGACCCTTCGGTGGTTTATGCCAAAGACATCGACGACATTGAAGATTTCTCTGAGGTTCAGGGAATCGAGTTTGATGATAAAGATAAGAAGTTCTTCCAAAGGTTTGCAACAGGTGCTGTCCCCAGGGCGTGGCAGGAAGAGATCATAGAAACGGGACTGTTTGAAGAATTGAACGATCCCAACAGACTTGCAGGTTGTGGGGAGGGTAACTCGTCCAAGTCTGCTGTGTGTTTGTTATTATAAGTTGTTCTCTCTACCAGACAGGCAGCAGGAGTCTCAGCTGACCTAATCCTCGAATGTTCCTGTTAACCTAAAAATAAAAATTAAAAAGGCCTTTCAAGATGAGACGCAACACACGTTTATTGAGGTCCATAAGAAGAGCTATTTGGGACGCACTGATTCCGACGGGAGCCCAGATGGTGTTCCGATTAGGAGACGGAGGTGACGGGAATGTATGAGAAAGGGAAGGGTGGCAGTTACATCAGTAAGAGGAAGCCATGTCCATCGGTGCAGAGAACATAACACAGTGATGTTAATTCTCAATAATGCTATTTTAGTTTCCAGTCCAGTAGTTATAGGAACTGCTTTCTTGTTATCTTTGCAAACAGATTTTTAGGACAAACGTTGCCCTAGGCCCCGTCCAGAGGTTATTTTGTCCTGTTTTAACATTCCAGAGATTTGAGGCCCAAGACACACTAGGCAGTTTCTCTGGCGGGGCAGTTCTGGTTTCATTTTAAAGTGGCTCCATTTATGTCGTGTTTATGTTCCTAACACACGAAAATCTATTACAAAGGGAACTGATTGATCAGGAGGGCATTTATCATAAAGCAGTTCAAAGGACAGCCTCTCTCTCTCTCTCTCTCTCTCTCTCTCTCCTTTCTTCCTTCTTCCTCCTGTCCTCCCTCCCTCCCTCCCTTTCTTTTTTCATAAAGATGAGAGCAGTCTCCGTTTCACTGAGGGCTGGGAAAAGGAACACAGGTTTATTTTGATAAACTAAAAGCATGAGCTCTCTACTATCATGTCCCTGAAAATTACACAAAGTCCTAGGAGCACAGAAAGGAGCTTTGTGGTGTGCACAGAAAATGAGCATTTGCAATTCTTAGTAAATAATCATTTTAGTTTTCCTTTGTTTATATCCTTTCTCCCCTTCATCTTTCAGGTTTGTTTGTTTGTTTTCTGCTTCTGTACTTATAAAAAGGATTTTGATGCTGGAAGTAAGTGTCCCTGATATCCTCCCCATAAAAGAGTGGGTTGTAATATTTTGGCAATATCTCAGATTATAAAATAATTTTTAATTTACTGTAGGTCTCTTTTTCATATTGATTTCAGAGAGAGGAAGGGAGAGGGAGAGAGAAAGATAGAAACATCAATGATGAGAGAATCATTGATCGGCTGCCTCCTGCATACCACCTACTGGGGATGGAGCCCGAGACCCGGGCATGTGCCTTACTAGGAATGAAACCATGACCTCTTGGTTCATAGGTTGATGCTCAACCACTGAGCCACGCCGGCTGGGCAGGTTTAGTTATTCTTTCAATATATATTGCTGCATGTCATGAGCCAGGCTCCATTTTGGTTTTGGGAGATACACTGGGCTTTGTCCCTTTAGGATTTTTAGATTGGAAGGTGCTTTGTTCTCCCTCGGTCTCAGTAAAACCTTGTATCTCTCTGGGTAGAGATGAATTTTGTTCTTTTCATTTCCCCCCTAATTTTCTGCACTGAACACATCTTTTTAAAATCAGGGAAGGGACCTATATTGATTAAATCAAGCAAAACCCATGTAGTCGGACCTGGGAGTGCAGCGTATGCCCGGCTGGCTCTGGCCATCGCTGGCGCCCGAGGAACCCCCTCCTGCCAAAGGGCAGCAGCCTGGGTCCCAGAGGGAGGCCAGGCCCCCCGCTGAGTCAGCAGTGTCTCTCTCTGGACAGAGCCAGCAGCTGGTGCCTAAGGCGGGGCTAGACCGGAGGCTCCACCATCCAGCCTGTGAACCGCGGCCGGGCTGGTCGGTGATGAAGTTCTTACCAAGCCTCAGAGAAGGGAAAGAAAGAAGAATGCAGCAAGTGTTTCCTGTGCTACTCGCTTCACAATAGCTGTGATGAGGAGTTAACATGTCCTCTTTGATGAAGTCCTTGATACTTCACAAAAGTAAAACTTGGAGAGCCTATGGCCGTTCCTCAGATTTATTTATTTTTATTATTTTAGTTTTCTGACCTGTGCGATCCCAAAACCTGGGACTCCCTGGCCTGGATGACCTGGAACGGCATTCCAGCTAAAGGGAAACCTGCGCTTCCATAGAAAACGGTGCATTGTTCAGAGGAGGATCAGCAAACTTTTCCTGGAAAAAAACAGTAAATATTTTAGACTTTGCCGATGGCAACCACTTAACTCTGCCTCCACAGTGGGAAGGTAGCCATCGATACCGTGTCAGGACTGAGTGTGGCTGTGTGCCAATAAAGCTTTGTTTACAAAAACAGGCGGTGGGGCTGGAGTTGGCCCACAAGCAGTAGTTGACTGTTCCCAGTCATAAATAAAGTCTTATTATTAAACCCTGCCTCTCCGGTCTGCACCGCCAGCGGCCACATCCATTCCTGCCATGCGCACAGTTCCTGCAACCAGCAGGAGGCTCTGTCAGGGGGAGAGACCGGAGGAGAATGGCGGGAGCCAGGAGAGCCCAGGCCAGCCTCTGCAGTTCACCTGCTGGCGGTGCTGAGTGCGCTGAGCCTGAGGCCACCAGAGGCCCACAGGGTCCCTGTGGAACAGCCCTCCTCCGAGCTGTGCCGCGGTGCAAAGGCAGCCTGTCCACTTAACATTTGAATTGCAGGGAACAGCACGCAGTTTTTTTCCTGGTATAAGTATGTTCCAAAAGTTGCACAGGACCTATCCTTAAAAAATCATCTATTGTCTACGAGTAGAGATCATTGACTTAAGAATAGTCTGTGGTCAAGAAGCAAAAAAAAACTTTTTAAAAATCAAAACAAAGGACAAAAAAAAAGACTAGTCTGTGATCACGGTTAAAGAAAATGAAGGAAAACGACCAGCACCGCGCCTACAACATGTGTAGCCAGAGCCACACCTGAGCTCCCTGAATGGTCAGCGCGGCCTCCCAGGCAGCTTTGCGAATTTCTTCCCGCAAGTCCACGTGTGTGCCCTCTCGCAGCCCAGCGCTGGCCAGGCCGCCGCCAGCATCGCCAGCACTGCTGCCAGTAATAGCAACACAAGAAAAGCTGCCAGTTACTGAGCACTTTTTGTGCATCACCCACAATGCTCACAACCGTCCTGCGAAGCGGGTTTTACTCTCTGCGTTGTGTCAACGAAGAAAGGAAAGTTCCGGAGGTTAACGGACTTACCCACTTACACGGTAAGTGCTGAGTGACCCCAGGCCGGCCTGACAGCTCGTGGCTGTGAGGTTACTGGTTTCCCATGGGAGGAACTGCCTCTGTCCCTCCCTGAGAACAGAGTTAGTGGACCAAGCCCAAGGAAGAGAGAAATATATATATTTAGGCCTGACATGGACTAGCAGGGCCAGGCTGAAGGGAGGGCAGTGAGGCCCCTAAGTCGAAATGTTTTTGACGACAATCACTCTCAGGACCAAGCAACTGCGGAATCAAAACTTGCACAAAACTGAAAGTGAGCGCCTCCTTCAGTTTTGCAGCCTCCGGCTTCCATGGCAACCACGTTGATTCTCAACCCGTGGACTAGACAGCTCAGGTGTAACTACTTCGGAAAATCCTTTTGAAACTACATTTCTTTGCACCTTCAAAAACAGCCCTGGCCGGTGTGCTCGGTAGTTAGGGGATCGGCATGAGAACCAAAGGGTGGAGGGCTCAATTCCCGGTCAATGGTCAATGGGTTGTATGTTCGATCCCCACCCAGGTTGGGGCACGTACAGGAGGCAACCAATCGATGTGTCTCTCTCACATTGATGCTTCTCTCTCCCTCCCATCCTCACTCCCTCCCTCTTTCTAAAAAAAATAAAAATAAAAAATTCGATGGAAAAAATATCCCCAGGTGAGGATTAACAAAAAAAAACAATCATCTACATTCATTTAACAAATATTAATTCAGGGCTACCATGTGTTAGGCGTTTTAGTGGCCAGGAATACAGCCCAAGGCACACCACGCCCATCCTGGATATATCCCTAGCCCTTTGGCTGAATATCTCTATTAGCCAATATGGATCAATAACTTTTCCTACTTCCCTTGTCACCTTTCAGTTGATGCCAAGGACCGAGAAACACAATGCCCCTGGGGTATTTAAGAACCAAAATTCAGTTTCCCCTTTTCCTTTCTTCTTTAAAAGGATTCCCCCAGGTTTGTGCTTTAGAATCCTTGCTCTGGAAAAGGTGTGGAATAGGACTTGTGAACTCCTTACTCATCTCCCTTAAAGTGGAAAGTTACAGGCAGGCTCAAAGGCACATCCAGATTGGCTCGTGGTGAGTGTTGTTTTAACAAATGCCCGTGGAATGAAGGGCCTGGTACATGTCATAACTGGTAACGAGGCAGACAATGGTGAAATAGCAGCTCAACCAAACAAACTTCGGATGCCCTTGCCTGCGCCTGGCTTCCCAGGAGCGGGTGCCCTCCGGCCCTCTCCTGTGCTTGGTCGTGTTCTGGGCTAGGCCCATAAACAGCGCTGCAGATGTTTGCCCAGACCTGTGGCGTTTCCACGATTGTTATTGCTTTGTATGTCTTTGTCAGCATTTCCTGCCATAGTTCAGTGTTTGGTCAATTCTAAATCACTTCGGTCCGATAAGCAAGTTTGTGAACTATCTGGTCACCTTGCCTCCCTCTACCACAGTCCACTTTTGGTCATTTTGTCACGCCCATCGTGTGCAGGGATGCAGAAGGGAAGAGAAATAAATCCATCCGTTTGATTTGGAAACAGGAATTGAAGAAGAAACCCAAAACTATTCACTGATCTCTGGACACTCTGAGAATTTAAGTGACACTCTCTGCTCACCTTCTCCCACCCCCTTTTTTCATAGCCACAGATCACTCCGCTAATGAGCCTCAATTGTAACATCAAGTTGAGACTTTTTAAAATTGATTTTTAGAGAGAGGAAAAGAGAGAGAGAGAGAGAGAGAGAGAGAGCGAGAGAGAGAGAGAGAAACATCTATCTATTGGTTCACATATTGATGCAGTCATTGGTTGCTAATATATGAATATATTGTTTTTTTCAATTACAGTGTACATTCAATATTATTCTATATTAGAGGCCCGGTGCCCAGATTCATGCATGGGGGAGGAGGTCCCTCAGCTTGGCCTGCTCCCTCTCACAATCCAGGACCCTCGGGGGATGTCCAACTGCCAGTTTAGGCTCAGTCCCAGACATCCCCCGAGGGATGTAGCAGTGCACTGAGCAGCAGGCAGCTAGGGAGGAGCCTGAGCCGGGGCGGATGCTGAGCCACTTGCACTCATCCTGGCCCGCTGCGCCTGCTGCCACTGCTCGGTAGCACTGCCGCAGTCGGGACAGGCTCCTGCCACCGCAGCTACTCTCGCCAGCCATGAGCCCGGTTTCTGGCTGAGTGACGCTCCCCCTGTGGGAGCACACTGACCACTAGGGGGCAGCTCCTGCATTGAACGTCTGCCCCCTGGTGGTCAGTGCGCATCATAGCGACTGGTTAACTGGTCGTTCCGGTTGTTCGGTTGTAATGGTCACTTAGGCTTTTCTATACATAGATTAGCTTCAGATGTGCAATAAAGTGGTTAGAAAATCATGTGCTTTATAGAGAGGTCCCGCTGATGTTCCAAGTACCCACCATAGTTATATCAGTGACTATAGTATGCCCTGTGCTGTAATTTACATCTCTATGACTATTTGGTAACTAGTTCACCTTTTTTTGCCCAGTCCTCCAACCCTCTGAAAACTGTCAGTCTGTGTTGAGAATTTTCTTGTCACCCTTGAGACACCCAAAAGGAGCTGGGTGCCTGTATTTAACCCTTTCACCTCCCCCATGACCCTAAGCCAGCACTACCTCCCATGGAAGGAGGAGGAACAGTGGGGACGACCAAGAGAAAAATGCAGTTCTAGGTCAAAGCTTATTCTGATCCTACTCTGTGCCAAAGGCCAACACAGAGAGAATGTGTGTGGAAGGTTTCCTGTGGAAAAGTCCAGAGAGAATGTGTTTGCCTCGTTCTTCCCTGTTTGGGAAGAGGGAGACTGTTGAAATACTGTGTGGTGAGGACGTGCCTGCACTTGGTCCCGGGTGTGCTGCAGCCAATGTGCCACCTCTTCCCCACGCCCTGTTCTGGGGGTGTCCTCACCGTGGCAGCTGGAATTAGGTTTCAGTGGGTATAT